CTCTCTTGGTGGTGATATGTGTCCTTTGGGCTCCTTCTCGTAACCCTACTAGGTACCATCCTTTTCTATTGCCTTTCTAGAGTTGGTTATTTTTGTTTAATTTGCTTGAATGTAACATTAGTTCTCTCTTTTCAATTGTATTTTGGTAATTTGAAATAATATATTATTTGAATTTTATGCAGTTTCACAATCTAAATTCTAAAACATCCTGATGAAATACTTAAATGCATATATCTTATCTCTATTTACTTTCAGATTAAATTTCATTCACCTGAGGTTTGGAAATGAATTCTCGGGCCTTCTCTGGTTTCAGTTGAAACCAAAGCCTTCCCTAAGTTTGTAAACCCCGCCCTTACATTCCCTGTAGTTTTAACAATAGTATACAACCTCCCGTAAGTTTTCTTAAGTATTAACTTGGCCTTTTGGTGATACGTTCTTGTTAATATAAGGGAGGTTTCCATATAAACTGCAACTAGATGATGGAGCGTAGGTTGTAAAAAAAAAAGCCCACAGGAGGTTAGTATAATTTTACTCATCCTATTTGAGATTGTGTTTCGTAGCGATTATTGATGTCTTTAGATATTCTATTTCGTAGTGATTATTGATGTCTTTAGGTATTCTATGGTCTTTGCAAAATTTGAGGGTGTGTTTAGTAGGTTGAAGGTAGAAGAGATGGAGGGGAAACTGAAAATGCATCTAGATGTAAAGCTTGTTCTGACGCACTATGATTATAACCCTTACTTTTTCATATCTTCCACCTTCACTTCTATCAGGAAGACTCTAAGTGCATGACTATATTGTTGTTGTTATTGTCATATAACTGTTGAAATGCTACCTGTGCTGATGCACAATTAGCTTCAAATAGTTTTGGCATCGCATGTATTTCAAGAAGTAATCATAGCACGACAATGAATAAAAAGTGGTGAAGGATTTAGTTTTTATACAGATATTAGATCACTATCCTGTACAAGAATGCTACCTCTGCTCATAAATGTACAAGGGAAGATAATTTAGTTTAAATTTATTATTATTGCATAGAAAAGGATGGGTGCTATGTATTTGGCATATAGGGTGTCTTGCATTACATGGGATGTGCTCTGCTGAGGTGTTGGTGTTAAAGTTCATCAAGAAGAGGTTAACTTTTCAAGCTGAACCATTTATATTCATGTATTTGTGTATTGAGAGAAATAATGACTAGAAAGCATGCGATTGTGCACGGAGTCTGTTAAGGACTCACATATACAAAGGGTCGCTTGTCATTGTGTTAAAGGAGGGAGTTTTATTGGACATCTCATCTTTATACCCAAACCCCCCCCCCCCCCAAAAAAAAAAAAAACATATTTTCCAGGTTTGTCCCTCTATTGTACTATCTGCGTATACTTTTTACCCCCCGGTGACAGCATATCTATAATTGACCGTTCAGGAGGTTTCCATGTTTCTTATATTGGTATTTCTGCTCTGGCATGTGCCTGACAAATGAATAACTTGATTCCTAGGTATGCGTACTTAGAGGGAACAGGAGATGACTTCGATGAGGAGGGTATCTCTCTGACAAGCGGCGTAATGAAGATGAGTGGGGATGTAGCTGCTAAGCTGGACCGGAAAGAAAGAAAAGGCTCTAGTGCCACAGATCTCACATATGTTGAAGATATTGAGGAAGATAAACGAGAGTAATATTGTTAACTCCACCTGTATAGCAATGGATATGGATTCCCAATGACCTCTTTTCTTTCAAGAGGCCTTTAGGTTTGTTCATAAACATGTATGGTTTATATGTAAAACAGACCATTTGGCAAGTGGAAACTAGGCCGAAATTGTTCCAATGTAAAAGTGGCTCATATCAACATTGATGGATATAGGAGGGCACTTTTAGCAGCGTAGTATGGTGTGATCAGATTCAGATCACGGTCATCCTTCCATTTTCATTCAACTGTCTTAATTAAACCTTGCCAACATTTTCCAAACCTGAATCTTCTTGATCGAGTAATCTAGCGAATAAGAGAGGATTCCATGGAACTTGAGTTGGACCATTCATACCCTGTAAATAGTGTGGCTTTTCTCATTTTTTATGTTTTATATTGACTGATATTGATTGTATAATTGAGACAATTTAGATATAACTTGAGCAATTCAGACATTAAAGAATGTTATTGTTATTGTTGGAAAGAATATTGTGTTTCTGTGAGGTGACTTTAAAAATTTGGTTGTTGATAGAGTACAACAGTGTTATGCAATTTATGTAGTTGACTCTACTTAATGGGATGAGATTTGTTGTTTGTGGGAGGTATCTCAAATCTTTAAAAGGATTTGACTCCCCAACAATCATAAATACTAAGAAATATTTTATCACAATTTTTTCAAGATGCAAACTAACAAAATGATGAAAAAAGAAATTTTATTAAACCAAAATTTCAAATAGAGTACCATGTATGATCTTATCGCGAAGGATATGAAAGTAAATGTGCAGAAGTGATAGCACTCCCTATTCATAAATTTGACTTGTTTCCCAAAGTTTATGATGTTTACTTCCCTCAATTTTAGGAAACAACTTCGCACAATTTGAGCCAATTTTTCCATATACATTTTAAAGGGTTGGGCGCCTTGAGTTGATTTTCGATTTGGTGACCAAAACTTCTTTCCAGCTTCAAGAATATTCCCAATTAATATTGAACGTTGGATTCGGGCCTCGAAAATTATAATTATAGTATAAACAATTATTTTATTACTTATCTTGATTTTTATATTTTTTGAAAACCTTAATTTCTCTATGCAGTGCACATTTTAGTTTTTGTATTTTTTAAATAATCATATTAGGAGAAAAGTCAGTATAATTTATGATGATTAACATAAAATATAAAAATTATAAAGATTTATATTATTCACAAACTATAATTAGCAAGGCCCCCTTTGAATTATATAGAACTTTTTTATTATTTCTACATTTTATACAGTTTATTAGGTGTCATTAGCCGTTTCTATGTCAATTCAAAGATTTTTTTTTTTTCCGTTCAGACTATTCAAACAAAATTTCTGTGATATGTAACATACGTTGCATGGCATTAAATTGATCTGAGTCAGGGTGGCTGGATAATGACAAAGAAATTAAACATCTCTCCGGTGGGACCACACAGAATCCAAACCCCTGCATCTTCTATCTTTGAACGTCTGACTTTCATTTGTCAAACCCTAAAACTGATTTAGAACGTCTGTCTCCTGAAAAGGATGTAATTTGTGTAAACTACTTTCTCCCATCTAAATATAAGAGCATAGCTTTATTTCTAAATACTAGCTACTTAAATATTTAATGTAATTCTACATATAAGACCTCAATCTATTTTTTTTTATATTTATTTATTTTTCTAAGTAATCTTAATAGTGATTGCAAGAATTGTTTCAATACATATGATTAATAAGGATGTCTTAGGAAAAAAATAACACTATTTATTATAAATAACTAATTTAACTAATTTTCTTATTATTCGCAAATTAGTTATCTAGTTCTTATACTCTTCTGATTTTTAATATAAGACCTAATTAATTAATTTGAGCAGATTAAGAATGTTAATTAAATTAGTTAATATAATATGTTTTTCTCAAAACACCTTAAACATCTTTCTTAATTCCATTCCTCCCTTTCTTACATGATTATTGTTGAAAGAATATCAATAAGATTAATTTAAAAAAATCAATAAATATGTGAAATAGGTCTTATATATAGAACCAACATTAACTCCCTAATCAGCTTCTATATTAAGGACTAGAGGAGTATCAATCACTAGAGTTAATATAAGATATCAATCTACTTTATCTTTTAAAATTATAATTATTTTTTCAAAGTATTGTGATTGCACGTATTAAGAGAGTTTTTCCCAAAGTTAGTTTGAATGCATATAATTAAAGAAAGCGCTTTAAGTTCGCTCCAAAAAGAAGTACTCCCTGATCCTTAATATAAGACTCATTTAACTAATTTGATTAGATTAAGGAAGTTAAGTAAGTTAATTAATTATAAGAAATGTGACATGTTTTTTCTAAAACACCATAATTATTTTTTTAATACCCTATCCCTCTTCTACTTGATTATGGTTGAGGAAGTATCCATGAAGGTAATTTAGAGAAAATCGATAAATATGAGAAATGGGTCTTATATTTAGAACCAAAACCAACTCAATAATTGAATCTTATATTAAGGACCGAAGCAGTACTATAAAAAAAAATCAATATACATTCGTTACCAACAATCAACTTAACTAATTTTTTTTAATGTCTACAAATTAATTATCTAACCCTTAATATGAGAAGTGTGGTAGTATTTTAAAAGAAAATGAAACCAAGGAATATAGGATTTTAGGGATGGAGTCAAAGCCGTTAAAGTACCCCGGGGGGCGTATATTTCTTCCCCAATATTATTCCAACTGAAAATCTTCATTAAACAATAATCCATATTTTTAAACTAAAAACACACGCACACACGTATTAATAAATACGTCTATAATAAAATATCATTAGTGTACGGTCTCTCTGAAAATGTAATAGCTTTGATAATTTCAGAACAAAACTCGTAAGAATGAGCAGTATAGTCGGTGTTTATAGAAGAAGTAGTTCACCACATGGCGCATGCAAATATACACACATGCAGCTTCATCTTCTATTTATGGCCAATGAATCATCCATTCCGTTTTCATCGTCCAAATTTCTACGGCCATGATTCCTATTATTATTGTTCAACGTAACTAATACTTCCCTTTCAGACGCCCATCAAAAGCTAACACTACTTCCTTTGTCCATTTCTTTCGATGCTTAATTATTCCTTTCACTCTCACACCTTTCCGCTTCACAGATCCCATTTTTCATTTTGGGATTCTGTATCGTTTCGTTTTGTTTGTTATTCATATCTTCAATCGAACTAGACTTGGATGAAACTCTAGGTTGATCCGATTCGCATAACGTATAAGTTTTGAGTCTTTCATTTTGGTGATACTTAGGTTTATTAGCAGGAAAATATGATAGAGAAGCTGAGATTTCTGGTTAGCGTCTGGATTTTGCTTTTGGGGTGTTGTTGGGGAAGGTTTGTGGTGGAGAAGAACAATATAAGAATCACTAGTCCGAATTCGTTGAGAGGAACATACCAATGTGCGATTGGGAATTTTGGGGTTCCAAAGTACGGAGGAACAATGATTGGCTCTGTTGTATATCCCAGTGAAAATCAGAAGGCATGCAGAAACTTCGATAATTCTCCTTTTAAGTCCAGGCCTGGAAGTTTTCCCACTTTTGTTCTCATAGATCGTGGAGGTTAGCTTTCTTTCTCATTATTATTAGCCTCATTATTCGTTTTGTTTCAAGCCCTTAGAATATCTACAGCATTCACCCACATTTCCTTTTTTTATACTACCCTCCTATGCATCACACCTAAATCACCACAAGAAAAGGATCAATGGAGTTCCTTTATCTTTTCATTGCTATGTTTAATTGTATGCAATTGAAATAATCAGTAGGCCAAATAGTAGAATGTTTGATGTTCAAGTTTTTGTATTCATTATCTTTAAAGGAATTTTAACAAAACATGGAAAGTTTTGGGATTGGGCCACTGGTTAAGTGGTTTCACTGTTACTCTTAGAAGTAGAAGGTTGTCAGTTCAATCCCACCATATATATGTCTATGTATTTGCATACGATGTCTGAGCGAGAAGTCATCTTTGGAAGAAGAGAATGAAGTTTTATACCAATGAGAATGAAGTTTTATACCAATGAGAACGAAGTTTTATGCCTATGATCCCTCTTCTTTGCCATTGTTAGATTGCTTCTTCACTTTAAAAGCGTGGAATGCACAGAAGGGTGGAGCAGCAGCAATTCTGGTTGTGGATAACAGGATGGAGCCACTAATAACCATGGACACCCCTGAAGAAGGCACGAATTCGCATGATGATTATGTGGAAAAGATTAACATCCCTTCTGCTCTTATCAGCAAAACCCTAGGGGATGGCATCAAGAAAGCCCTCTTGAAAGGAGATATGGTTAAGGTAAACCTTGATTGGAGAGAGGCTCTTCCACATCCGGATGATAGGGTTGAGTATGAATTTTGGACTAACAGCAACGATGAGTGTGGACCAAAGTGTGACATGCAAATCAATTTTGTGAAAGACTTCAGAGGGGCAGCTCAGCTTCTTGAGAGGAAAGGGTTCACACAGTTCACCCCTCACTACATCACTTGGTATTGCCCTGAAGCATTCATAAACAGCAAGCAATGCAAGTCTGAGTGCATAAACCATGGGAGATACTGTGCTCCAGATCCTGAGCTTGACTTCGGTAGAGGGTATGATGGGAAAGATGTAGTTATGCAGAACTTGCGCCAAGCTTGCTTATTTAGAGTGGCAAATGAAAGTGGAAGGCCCTGGCAGTGGTGGGATTATGTCACTGACTTTTCAATACGTTGCCCCATGAAAGAGAACAAATACACTGAAGAATGCTCTGATCAAGTAATGAAATCTCTAGGTAGGTTGGGCACCTGATTTCTTTTTGCATTTATCTTTGTTGTTGATTTGAATGTCTGGTAAATATGCATGAATTAATTGGGTTCAATCACTTATAATTGAGTTTCACTGATATTTATCATCAGATTATTTAATAATCTACAGATATTTTCAACAACTAAAATCCTTGTCCCAGACCAGTTTAGGGAATAAGTTCGAATGTCATAATTCTAATGAAAACTTGTTCGTAAATAGTTATTATATTCTACACTTTAGTTGTGTCCTTCAAGATCCCTAGAATTCAATTTTCTTCAAATGCTGAGGCTTTGTCACATATGTGAAATGACAAAACCAAATCTGTATCAGCATTGAAAGCCATTATTCTAAAACCTCAACCAAGCACAAAAGCTATGTACCTAGCTGTCTTGCTCTTTTATTTTGGCATAAATTCAATAAACATTATACTAATTTGAGAAATATCAATGCACTTTTTTCACTTAATAGGTGTTGATCTCAAGAAAATTAAAGATTGTATCGGAGATCCCCAAGCAGATGCTGAAAATCCTGTTCTCAAAGCTGAACAGGATGCACAGGTAAGTTCGATGACTATTTTTTTTTTCTCTGTTTTTTTGGCTGCGCTTGTTTTCTAGCTAGGTCATGTTGGTATTATATCACATTCTGTTCCACTTTTTGTTCCAGATTGGCAGGGGTCCTCGTGGTGATGTTACTATACTGCCTACTCTTGTTATAAACAACAGACAGTATAGAGGTGTGAGGAAGTTTCTATAGATACCATGGTGACTGTATAACTATATTCTACTTTGTAACATTTGTTTTCTACTGATTTTAGGTAAGTTGGAAAAGGCAGCAGTTCTCAAGGCAATCTGCGCAGGTTTCCAAGAGACCACTGAGCCATCAATTTGTTTAACCCCAGGTCCCCCCTTCATTTCCTTCTTTTTCCCTTTCTTCAAGGAAATCATTTGTCTCACAAACACCCCTAGGCTCCTGTGGTAACGGATTATGTGTTCTGGCTATTTGGTATTTCCTGAGGTTAATTTTAGCATGAAGGTTTATCTTCTTCTTCTAGCCCTGCAAATCAGAAGAAAGGAACATTTCTGATATTCGTCTCTTCAAAAATCATTTCATTTTTGTGGAGGCAGATATTTTGTTTGGAAATTATCCTATTGAAATTGAACATAGTTCAAAAGCTAATTAAGTTTGCTGATGTTTCTTTGCAGACATGGAAACAAACGAGTGTTTAGAAAACAATGGTGGTTGCTGGCAGGACCCATCTACTAACATTACTGCTTGCAGGGTATTTATTTAACTGTCCAGCAAACTTTTTTTTTCTCTTTTGTGAAAATATTAATAACTTCTTTTGTTTCTCATGGAATCTGGTTCTTCTTGATGTTTGTATTATAGGATACATTCAGAGGAAGAGTTTGTGAATGCCCTATTGTTCAAAATGTGAAGTTTGTTGGTGATGGATATACCCACTGTGAAGGTAAATAATTTTCACTCGAGTTCAGATAAATTAGAGAGTAAAAAAACTGTACTGTCCATTTTCCCTACAACCATGTGCTGATTCATTTTCTTTTCAATTGAAAGCTACGAGTGGTTGTTCTGACTTGCATGTCTTCCATTTTTAAAGACTGCATTTATCACTTAAGTCTTATGAGTAAGAATAGCTTGTTCAATCTAGCAGCTTCAGGAGCCTTGCGATGTGAAATCAACAATGGAGGTTGTTGGAAGGGAACTCAAAGTGGCAGGACTTACTCAGCTTGTATTGTGAGTATTTCTCAATGCATCAACTCGTAATTCTTTCTTGCTTTCATTTTTGTCTTGGTTTGGGAGACGAGCAGGAGAGCGAGGACGATTTTTTAAAAACAAAAGAAAAAAAGAGAGATAAACTCACTGATTTAAACTAAGCAGACTAAGACAGGCACGCATGTATATAAACAAGCATGGATATAAGTATGTCAAACACAATTTTTTTATAGGAGACAAATGAAAAGCGCAGACAAATATTTCAACACACAAACACACTCACGCACAGCACAGCTCTGAACTTATGACCTTCCTCCGAGAGGAAAAGGGGGGGTTGGTGTCACTAGACGTGAGAGTCTTGGCATGTCAAATATACTTTTCAAGAGAAACCATTTATGCCACAGTTACATGTTCATATGGTTTGATGTATCATTTTTTGTTTGATGGAGTCTAGTTGAGAATATCTGCTAATTATACACCGCTTTCTTGTTTAAATAATGAAGCAGGATGACCGTACAAAAGGTTGCAAGTGTCCTCCTGGTTTTAGGGGTGATGGAGTCCGGTCCTGTGAAGGTAATGGCAAAAATTAAAGCTTCAAGTTGAGCTTTACCATTCAGAAGATTATTAATGATACATCTCCTTTAAACTTTTATGAATTATAGATTGGATCATAGGAAGCGTAAAAAATAAGTTGAACTATTCACAAGTCATACAACTTGTTATGAATTTTATATTGATGTTGATTTTTCTGCAGAATGCATGCATATACATCATGCAGGGCTTTTTAGTCATGTTATTAGCTATATTTTGATGAGAATTTAAGTGGGATAAGGAACCCTATTTCAAAAACTAGTTGTTGAAGTAAGATCAACAACTCGCTTAAGTACCTATTGAGCATCCCATATTACTCAATATGAGACTTGGTGTTAAATGCTATCAACTTCACTCGCCTTTCTGCCAATCAGAACCCATGGCTAGCCCTCTCTAGAAGCCCAACAGCCTAGTGCTAAGGTTAATTGATAGATGCCTAAGTGGGTTGAGAAAAAACTCAGTCCCAAAAGCTAGCCATTGAAATAAAAGAACCAGCCCATTTAGATACCTCATTAAACATCTCATGCTGCTCAACGTGAGACTTAGTATCCTATACTACCACGTCTTATTGATTCTTGTCAAGCCTTTGACATGGGATTATTGTGTTGGCTACGTTACAGATGTAGATGAGTGCGAAGAGAAGTCGGCGTGCCAGTGCCCAGAGTGCAAATGCAAGAATACATGGGGAAGTTACGACTGCAGCTGCAGTGACGGGTTGTTCTACATACGAGAAAATGACATGTGTATTGGTGAGCCTTGAGATTTTATGTTTCTATCACTCTCTGTCTGGAGTTTCTGCACATATCGCTTTCATTTCACTTATGTGATATAAATGCAGGTAAGTATGCTAACTCAGGAGGCAATGGGGGCTTTATTTGGCTGATTATTTTCATATTGGTTGCTGCTGTCGCTGGGGGATATGCGTTTTACAAGTACAGAATCCAGGTATTGTTCTTCTCTCATGAACAACTCCTTATGGTAGATGTAGCTGAGATCATTCAGTTTCTTTCTCTCAGATCCCAATAAAATTATGAATGATTAGGAGAGTTTGCTTCATTTTGAGCATTAACATCTAAAAACTGTCGAGTAATTCCATTTTCTTTTTACTGTTTGGCTTTGGGATGAAATACGTGCAGAGATATATGGATTCAGAAATCAGGGCAATTATGGCACAATACATGCCCCTGGATAATCAACCAGAAGTCGATAATCAAGCTCATAATGCAATCTAGATTATTCCCTGACATCCTCTGCAGCAGCTTAGTTAGTCAATTGAGAGAGAGATTAAGATAATTACATGTTATATATACATAAACGAGGCAACTTAGTATCAACAATTCCCTTTTCCTTTTATCCTTTGCGGCATCTCTAGACAATTTATGCAAGTTTAGGTATTTGTAGTATGATCTTTTAATAATGTAATAATTTTTTTTTCACATTAATTTTTTTTTCCTACATAGCGTACACATCGCAAAATTTGTTTACTTCACAGAAGGCTTGCTATTCTTATTGGAAATGAATTTTTACATATCGGTATTTTTTTTTATCAATACAATAAAAATATCTCAACTGATCAGAGTGAGACAAGCACATTCCATTGGAATTTTTTACTTTTTAAAAAACATCACCATGGAACTAACGCCCAACGCTACTAAATGCGGGTAAAATTTCACCCGAGGAAAATTGATGCTAAAGGTAATCTATGACCATTATTTTAAAGGGAAAAAATGAGATTTGGTCAAATTGAAAAAAAAAATAAAGGAAAAGAAAATATGTCCATCCCAAATAAAAGCCTTAGTTATAACATCAAATCTAGACTAGATGATGGCAATGGATACAAAATAATTGTACCAAAGAACAACCACGTTCTATTCCACATTGAGAGCTTAAAAAAAAAAAAAAAAGAGTTTTACTTGATAACAAGGAAAGGAATTCAATGATGCATACCTAAATAGAAGTTAGCTTTTTTATAAAGTAATCAATTAGTTAATAATGCTAGATGTATTTTCTTCCAACTCTAAAATTATTAATATATTTTCATATATTGAAGACACAGGATAAAAAATTGCCCACTTCAAATCACAATACTACATGAAACCACTTATTAAATTCGATCAAGATTCTTCAACAAATCAAACTATAAACAAACATAAAAATTTACTCCCCATAAGGCAAGAAGCCCAGAACTTCTCTTTTGGCCAAAAAAGAAATTTACCCTAAGATTTTTCAAGCAGATCCTCTGCCTCTTAGTGGCAAATGAAAATTAAAGTAGTAACGCCGACACTATAAAAGAGATCTGATGTGTAAGAGACATCTTTGCATTGTGAATTACAACAAACATCAAAATTCTAACCTTATGTCATTAAACTAATCTCCTTTTCCAGTTTCCAAGTTTGAGTCCTTGAGTGGTTTACGTTCCACTACCAATCTATAGACATAAAATGCCGCCACTGCGCCGCTGCATAGGACAAAATGGTTGTTATGATATAAAATCTTAGTCACTGAGAACGAAGCAATATAGCTTCATGGACATGGATAATAAATTTATCGGAATATTTCAGAAGAGTAATTCTGCTAAAGGTGAACCCATTTATGTGATTAATTCATGAACATGCCTTCTACTATGTAGAGAGGAAGAAAAAGGTGGGGGTTTTACAGCTTATAGTTAACCCATTTGGTAGAGGAACATAATTTATTTACTTGTCAATAAACTAAGAAAAAAACTAAACATCTAAAAGCAAATATTCTTCTACACTCAAGGCACTATTTCAAGTCACCAAAAAATGAGAGATAAGCGTGGGGATTAAGATTGAAATTGAGATTGAGATTGAGAAAAGTCATTAAAAATTACTTAGCATGAATAAATTCTCATTACAATTACATGGGATTAGATAATCTCTTGTAGGTGGAATGGAGGAATACCACTTGCCCAGTCCTAAGTAACAAGCAATGCCTCATACTAAATACTCTTTTAACATATTGTTTTCAATTTCAATCCTAATCTTTACCCCTCATTTTCAGTGCTTTATACCAAATGGGACCTAAGTATTATGGCTAAAGTACGGAGCAGTCATAAATCATCCACCTCAGGTAAAGTACAGAGCAGTAATAAATCATCCACCTCAGGTAGTTCAGCCCCTGCTTTACAGCCTACTCTATTGGTCAGCGCAAATGACCAAACTATCGAAAATTTTTCTTTCTTTTTCTTGGGTGGGGGGCCCCCCCGGGGGGGTGTTGGAGGAATGAATCCCCTCATATCCCAATACTTTCTCTCCATGGTTCACTTTCTTCCTAAACACAATTTCATATTGCTTCTTTATAGCAGTGAATGAATAATGTATTTGCCTCAATGCCACAGGTCAGTAAATCAAATGGATAATTAAATATATGTAATAGTTTATTTATGGAGAAAGTCAAGGCATGGAAAGAAAGTGTCGAGGGTCAATTTACTTGAAAATGCTAGTCTCTGAGTTAGCTATAGCAACTTCAGTAGATGGAAAATTCATGTGTATGTGAGTGGGGAAACTTGGAGCTTTCAACTCATGATGCACAAATCAAATCATTATAACATTAGCAAAATCTGGTTTCAGTTAAAAAAACTGTTACATTCCTCTTACATTTGAAACAGCAGCAATCCAAGATAATCAGAAATTATCCACATTACAATTCGCAGGGTAAGAAACATTCTTAAATCAATGACATAAGAAACCATTTCATGCAGGGAGGCATGCCTATTCAAATCAATGCACATGTAAGAGACCAATCCGGAAAGTAAAGAGAAAAGCAACAGCTTTCAAACAATGGTCACATATATGCTAAATATATAACAAGAAGATTTCAAGAACCTGATCAAAGCAGTGAACCGAGTTACAGGACACCCCTAGCAAAAGGAAAGAAGGAATAGAAACCATCAGTATCTTAAAAATTGTTATCATTGTGTGTGAGTCACCTTAAAGGTTATCTTTTTTGGCTATTCACGCTTTCTCACATTCAAATAACTTTAAAATACAAATGCCTTACCTTGCCTAGTAAGATTATCTCCCGCATGAATAATATGGTGGCTATTGCTGCAAGTCCAACGATAAATTTAGAGTAAGCTTATAAATATGGAAGAAACCAATAAAACATGATAGAAGAAAATACTAATCATGATGTTAGGCTAACATTTAGAACACAGTAGCACCATCAGTTAAATAAATCATAGGTTTTGATGCCAAAACAAATACTTGTCCATTTTTCGTTATGGCTAGTAAAGTAGAAAGTATTTTACTACTCCTCCGGTCCTAACTATAAGACCCATTTTGTAGTGTAAATTACACTACAAAGTGGATCTTATATTCAAGACCGAAGGAGTAATATTTTTCATGAAAAAACATTTGTAATATTAAGTATACGAAAAGCAAGAAAAAGAAGCTTGAAGGCATTGATAATCAATGAATATCATATTCAACTAAGTGACCATACATGTAACAAATGCAAGTTGATCTTACAGTGGTCAAGTAGATGAGGGCTAACAAATATTTTGACCACATACATCAGGATGAAAATAAAGCAAAGATGGCTCAAAATAAGCCAATAGCACCTTGCTACCCTGATTTGAGAGAATATCATAATATCAATCAGTTTTAAGCCCAAAATTAAACAATTAGATGCTACGTGGCAAAATGAAAAATAGCGTAGCAAAATGCTCAATTTGATAAACAAGGTGATGTTAGAAATTCACCCAAAGATGACAGTGGCAAGATGCAAATGATCTTGGAAATTAACTAAAATGGTAAACTGATTCCATTTTAGACTGCCATCTGTTAAAGAATATAATTTGTACAGTCAACTCTCTAGCCTCATTGAATCCTAAGAGGACTGTTGTTAGCTACCAGATTTACTTTCCTTCTAGCTCTTGCCGCCGTGTTAGTCAAAACTCAAAACCGTAGAGATAACTATCACAGAAAAGTTTAAGGAAAAGTAAGAAAAGACTTGAAATCATCCAAAAAATCTGACACTAATAGTAACATCTTCTGACAATAGCCAATTGCACTAATACCTTCGTTCCTTTTAATAAAAATCAAATATCCACTTTCTCAATACCAAGGAAAGTAACTAAATTCAATTATAAGCTTGAAATAAGTAATAGATACTTTTTTCCAGTAATACCCTTAGAGAAAGAAACTGACTAAGTTGGCTCATTTATCATCTCTTCTCTTTAATAAGATCATAACAGGAAATTTATAATAAATGCTCTAGACAAAGGCTAATTGTTCCTCATGAATAGGAAAAAGAACTACACTCCCAAAATTCTCTTATAGATAGGAATAGAGGGAGTATCATTTGAAACATTAGCAAGTTTTTATATTGCATAAGCATAAACTTTTTGTAAAGGAAGCTCCCAAATAAATTTAATAAGCTTATTAGTTTAGCTATTGCACGTCCTTTGTAAAATTCATGACCAACTAATCCTTTGACTTGTTACAATCAATTTATGTAGTCTAATGATTATATTGCATTGACACACACCAGATGTGGTATCAAATTGAGACATAAAATGATAGCAATTGCATAATTGCTAAAAAGAAATATTGAGGATGACTACATCTGAATTTTGATAATTCTTCTCTGATTATCTTTTTACGTTTTTTGTGATTCAAATCATTTTTTTCAATCACGTAAACTTACCAGCTTGGCCATTCAAAGCTCTGGGAGAAAATTCTCCTCTTTTGTATGCTCTTAGACTTGAAATGCTTAAAAACGTGTGAAGACCACCTAAAATCATCCCAAACCTAACAGCTGCAAGGCTTCCTGTAAACATAAAGGAAAGGAAGCCTACAATAGAGAGTAATAAACCTGCAAAAAAATCACAAGATTAAAAAGAAGGAATATTATTAATCATCAGTATTTGGCTAGCATAGGGGGTAATAGAAATTCGCCTTTGACACAGTGGAAGTCATACTGGCACATGTAGGATATTTTTATTAAACTGTTTCATGGAATGCCATCTGTATAGGCCATAGGGGTTGGATTAGGTTCAAATGCTTCTACTCTGAGATTTTGAGTTTACTCACTTTCTTTGAGCAAGACGACTTTCTGCAATAGGTGTAAAATCCCAACCAAACCCCCCCAGGAAAAAAAAAAAAAAAAATTGCCCCACCACGTAATACTTACCATATGGTATACCAACATAGAAGTCTCGCACTCCAGAGAGATGACTGAGATCATCGGTTGGGGAGGTAAATGTTTCAACAATCTCCTTCACTTCAGGAGATTTTTCAGCAGCTGTGGTAATGTACCCTTTGCCTTCTTCACCAATTTCTTTTGCAGCCACAGTCAAGTCATGCCTTGCCTTATCTGCTTGTACCTTCAACTGTTCTGAAGTATCTTTCAAAATGATAATTGCTTTCTTTGAGTACTCTTCATATGCTTCTTGAGAAATACCTTGAACCTTTTTCGCTTGTTCTCTAAAGGTATCCAGAGCTTGCTTCCACGCTTCTTGTGATTCTTGAGATCCCATTTCAAGCTCCTCCCTTCCGTCATCCACTTCAATATCTTTCTGCTTCAAAGTTTTAATTGCATAAGACAGATATCATCTTACAGTTCCAATTCAGAGTAGCAAGAACAGATGAAGAATATTTGTGTAAGATAAAATCAAGAGGAGGTCTGAGGAGGGGAAGATGATAGAAGGGAAAATGACCGTTAAGGATCCATAATTTTATATTAACAATAGCTAAAGACCTAAAACTCAAAATTCCCGTTTATGCAGTAGAAATAAGTTACCGCTGGTGATTCTAAAAGATATCACTCATACTTCATGAAGTTACAACCGAATCATTCCGATACTGCAAGGATATTTTAAATTTGTTAAACTACCCCGTAATTATGGATGAAAACAACATTGTAACTTGGGATGAGAACATTTAACATCTGGAACATAAATCATAAATTTAAGAAGGTGCATAAGTTATTTGAACGAGTCTATAGTCCTTAAGAGTAATCTTGATTCGTAAGATACTTAGTTATCGTTTTCTCCTTTTTTTGGGGAGAGGGCTAAGCTGGAAAGAAACCACATAACTCAGCAGATTGGGCGAGAAGCATATGCGTCCAGAAATTATAGACGAACAACTATATACCAATTTAAAGAAAATTCAGATGATATAGACTGCGAATATCAATCGCAGACCTTCCTCAATGGTAAAAGAACTGAATGTCACCACTACAATATCGTAATAAACATTGCAAAATGCCGTTCAAGCATTTCCAATAACTCGAGTTCATCAGAAGCATAAAACTCTTCATATTTTCTATTTTTTTAATCTTACCGAGTCATCCCCCGCAGCTGCAAAAGCGAGAATTAAAGGAGTACGGCGATTGAGCGTGAGAAAACCATTTGGGAAAAGACCGCTAGGGACAGCACAGAGCGTGGAATTGGGAGTTCTGAGCAAAGGATGGAACTTGAGAGAATCCGGAGCCTTGCTCAAAGGCATTGAGGCAAGGCAGAGTTTAGGGTTTATAAGGGAAACAGATTTCAGAGAGGAAATCATCTCTGGGTGGGCTCCAAACAAACCAGACGAGGTAGAGAGAGATAGAGAAAGAGTTTGAAAGGAGGCGAAGCTGACGAAGGAGTTGAAGGTGGGGGGGTTGAAATAGGAAAAAGGAGGGATTTTGTGAAGAATACAAAAGGCAGAAGAAGAAGAATAAAAATGGAAGGAGAATATGCAAGAGGCTTTTGAATTGACGAGGACTGTCCAATTTCCCAAACACAGCGCAGAGAGCGAAGCTTTGTCGTTCGTAATTTGGAGTGAAGCCGGAGACTTGGGAAGATGACACGTCATCACCAAAATATATTTTCTGCCCCTATGTTCTCTTCTTAAGATTTTCTTGTAGAAAACAGTAGATAGCGAGGCACCTTGGCAAATAAAACAAATCCATGAGGCACGCTTTCTTTAAAGCAAAAGATCAATTATATAAATAAAGTGAAAAATAACAAAAAAAATACTGTTGAATTTTAAAAAAATGACTATTTTTATAATCGTTTTGACATGTAAAATTATCTATTTGTCATTTTAAAATTTAACATACATTTTTTTATAATTTTTTCTAAATAAAATGAATGTTAAGTCCTAGCTTAATAGAAAAGGAAGAAGAAGGAAGATAATTAAGAAGGATAATATTTAGAATAACCAAAGTTATGAACAACATCAGCCTATAAAGATAGCGAATAGGAGGGAATTTTTTGGAAAAATCCAAAAAAAGTAACTGTTGAATTTCAAAATGACAAATCGGTATTGGTTACTACACTTATAAAGAAAATAACTACACTTACCAAGTAAATAACAATATATTTTTGTAGTAATTCTTGATTTGTCATTTTGAAATTCAACAATCACTTTTTTAAGATTTTCCCATTTTTTTTGGGATAGATTGATGAGGCATGCTCTAATATTATTAAGAATATATTAAAAATATTTAATATGAACAAATTTAATATTTATGCCACCCTTCTTTTTTTTTTTTGGCCAATTTATAAGTCCAAATTTGGTGCAATTCTACCATGCATGTGTCATTTGGATTTGGATTGTCCAAATAATAAAAATTGATTATGTCTCTTTATTTTCTACATTAATATATACGGCTTGAGCATCAATCTTATGTATAGTGTCATTTTCTTCTTTAACTTGCACAAGAGACTAAAGAATATGACTAACATCACTCCCATTCGTTAATTTGCTTGGTCCCCCTTGTGAATTGTGACTTCAGAGGGGCGGATAAAGAAATTTTAGCCATGACTAATACTAATTGACGGTTAAAAATGAAAGAAAAAGTGGTTATAATTAATGATAATTAGGTCGACTAGAAGGCAATTATTCTTCTTAAGTGATATTGAGAGTTTGAATTTTATAAATAAAAAAAATTGTATTGGAAAAATCACATATAATTTAATTTAACACTTGAATCTCATTCAATAGTACTCGTTCAATAGTATTAAATTTTAGACAAGTATTGACACAATTATGAAATATATTGGATTAATATGTTGCGTTAGGCCAATCTGTAGGCTTTGATTCCAACAAATGGAAGCCTAGAAAGCCTATTATAGTTAGAGCAACAACTGACGAGGGAAGCAAGGCATAGATCCTCGCACCAGCCGCATATACCTCCAAAGCAAGCAAAGAACCTCTACCTTTTTTTTTTTTTGAGCTGAAGCAAAGAACCTCTACTCACTATTCCTCAAACCAAACACAAGAAAACCAAATTGAAATTGATTGTATGGAGATTTATAATGAGGTAAAAATTGACAAGTGTGACAAATTGCAAGGTGAGTAATTGGAGAACTTGGCCCAAAAATTTAGACAATTCTTAGTGATAAACTAGCATATTATTTTCTACCATGTTTATTGAGAAACAAATAAATATATTAATTGATATTTCAGGGTGACTGGTAACATGATAAGATGATGTTTATGAATACTCTTATGACTTACAATGTAACTTTAGGTATGCTTTTTTTTTTTATAAGGGTCTATTAATTACTTTCATGAGATTAAAGAAATTAGGTTTTTTTCCACAAAAAAAAAAGATAAAAATTAATTAAATATTCAAAAAAAATTATAATTTTTCAAAACGACCTCAAGATTAATATGATTCATCACTTTATTGGGAGAGAAGATGATGGAAAATCTCTTTGAGAATAAGTCACAAAAATTTCGTTATTCAAAAAAGTGTGATGGTATTAATAGGACCATAGGAAGTATGAAAAAAAAATTGGTTGTTTGTTAAGTGGTGAATAGGAAAACAGTAAATTGCAAATGTGTTTGGATTAGTTTTTGGGGATTAGTTTTTGGGGGAGTAATGTGAGAAAAAGTGATAAGTTGCCCTTCCTCTTGAAGTCTTGAGAGAAAATAAACAAGACTCTTGTGATGATTTTTGATGTGTCGGAAATTAAAACCATGACAAATTTATAGCACGAAAACCAGTTTTTCTAGTAACGTAGCTGGCTATCTAGAATGTCTCTTCCTTTTAGTTTTAATATTTTAGGAAATGATGTACTCCCTCTGTTCCTTATTATAAGAGACATTTGATGCTTATGTCATGTTCCTATATATAAGAGACACTTAAAAGTTGTCTCTATTTTTGTGTGTTGATTTTCTATTTTACCTATATTTATTGTCTCCAACTCACACTCTCTCTCCTTCCCACTTCTCTTTCTTTGAATAATTTACCATTGTTCTCTCACATGCTCTCTCTCCTTATTAATGAGGGTTTTTTTGGAAAAAAAATTATACTTTTTACACATTGATTGTTCTTAACTAATTTTAACTGTTTTTTTATCAACGCAAATCGGTTATTCGTCTCTTATAATAAAGAACGGAGGGAGAATTGTTTATTTCTATCATAAAGTAATAGGTGCCTAGTGCCGAGGTGAAAACTAAATTTTTTAATCCCCTCTTAATAGTAAGAATTGTGGTAGTGTGTTTTAGATAAGGTTAAGCAATCAGTTTTTTGGTTCGGTTTGTTTCACTAACCGAAATAATTGAATGACCAGAATATACACATTTTAGGCACCGAACTAAAACCAAACATTAGCAAATAATTGAACCAAATTAACCAAAATAATTCAATTTTTGTTACAAAACTAAAAGAAATAAAGAGACTAGAGAGCAGAAAAGAAAACAAGAGATAGAGAAGATGATGACTTTTTTCTCATTTACTTTGCTTCATGGTACAAATGCCTTATGTATAGCCTCTATTTATAGGCCTCCAAGTATTGAAGTCCTATGCTAGGGTTACAAAGGAATAAAGAAGATAATAAATGATATTAACAATAAGAAACTCCTCCCAAGTCATTATTCATTAGAGAGGTTATATAGTTTATGACACTTGAAGGTAAGGAATCCTATGAGAATTCTTAGGGTCAGGGGTTATGGGCATCCATTCTTACAATATTCATAATACTTCCCCTTGGATGTCCATAACAAATATTATGTCTTATTAAAACCTTACTAGGAAAAATCTATTGGGACAAAAATCTAATGAAGGAAAAAAAACACAATATTTACTCCTCTTAATGACAACATCATTTTATGTCTTTAAGTCTACACATTCCAATACCATATACTAACTCCTCAAGTGTTCTAGTCAATAGTGTCTTCGTAAACAAATCAGCAAGGTTGTCACATAAGCAAATTTGCTAAACATTTATATCACTACTTTTCAAAAGATCGTGAGTGAAAAAGACTTTTGGAGAAATATGTTTTGTTATATCTCCTTTGATATATCCTCTCTTTAATTGATCTATGCATACTGTATTATCTTCATATAACACTGTTGGAATCTTTTGTTCTACAGAAAAATCATATATTTTTTGAATATGTTGAATTACTAACCCTAACCAAACACATTCTCGACTTGCCTCATAAATTGCAATTATTTCTGCATCATTTGATGAGGTAGCTAACAAAGTTTGCTTTGTTGAACAACATGAGATAGCTATACCCCCATAAATAAATGGATATCCTATTTGAGACTTGTATTTATGTAGATCTGATAAAAATCTTGTATCCGCATAGCCAATTAATTGTGATTTTGATTTATTAGAGTAAAATAATCACATATCAATTGTCCCTCGAAGATATCAAAATATATGCTTAATTCCATTCCAATGCCCCCTTATTAGGAAAGAACTAAATCTTACCAATAAACTAACAGCAAATGCAATATCACATCATCTTGAATTAACAAGATATATTAATTCACCTATGGCACTGAGATATGGTAGTTCTTCCTCATTTTCTTGAGAGCGAAAAGGATCTTTATCCTTATCAAGTGATCTTACAATCATAGGAGTAGGTAATGGATGCGCTTTATCTATATAAAATCACTTTCATACTTTTTCAGTATAAGTTGATTGATAGAAGAAAATTCCATTTGGTAAGTGCTCAATTTGCAAGCCGAGGCAAAATTTTGTTCTTCCAAGATCTTTCATTTCAAATTCTTTCTTTAAACAATCAACTGCTTTTTGAAGCTCTTTGGCAGTTCCAATTATATTTAAATCATCCACACAAACAACAATGATGAGAAACTCTGATCCATTTCTTTTTATAAAAACACATGGACAAATTGGATTAGTCGTATAACCTTCTTTCAATAAATATTCACTAAGTCGGTTATACCACGTTCTTTTATATTGTTTTAATTCATATATGGATTTATGCAAACAAATTGTATAATTTTCTCAAGAATTCTTACATATTTCTGGCAATTTAAATTCTTCAAAGATTTTTATATAAATTTCAGCATCTAAAGAACCATACAAATATGTTGTAACAATATCTATTAGACGCATTTCAAGTTTTCTATGAACTACCAAACTAATTATATATCTTAAAGTAATTATATTCACCACAGGAGAATATGTCTCTTCATAATCAATACCAAGTCTCTGTGAAAACCCTTGTGCTATAAGTTGTACTTTATATCTAACGATCTCATTTTTCTCATTTCGTTTAGGCACAAAAACTCATCTATACCCAACTGGTGTTACAATATTTGATATGTGGACTACAAGTCCAAGAACTCACATTTTGAAAGTGAATTTAACTCTCTTTCTATTTTGGCCCAATCATCTCTGTGCCTACATTCTTTAACTGATGTAGCTTCAAGATCCTCATGTTGATTAATTATTTCAACAGCAATATTATATGAGGAAAAAAATGTTGAGGACAACTATATTTTGTCGATTTTATCTTTTTTC